GTGTGTGTGTGTGTGTGTGTGTGTGTGTGTGTGTGTGTGTGTGTGTGTGTGTGTGTGTGTGTGTGTGTGTGTGTGTGTGTGCGTGCGGGTTCAAGAGTGAGAGTGAGATTGTGAGAGAGTGAAATAGTGAGAGAGTGAGTGTATGTATGTGTGTGTCTGTGTGTTTGGAAGGTGCGCGCGAGTGCAGCGCGTGTCAACTGACACTGTGTGGTAAATACCCTCGCACAACAAGCTCCAAGCACCACGTCACCACGCCACAACAACAACGCCACCATCACACTGCCCCACGCCAACACCGCGGCTGCGCAGCGGACCTGCGGGTCATCTCTGTGATGAACGTTGGCTTGACGTAGTCCTGGAGCTTAAAGTCGATGAGGGAAAGCACCTTGAGCTCCGTGGCGCAGCGCGACGGCACTGTGCCAAAGATGAGCAGACTTGCAGATTCTTCCTTGTCTGCACTCTCCTCCGAGTCCCCAAACGGCCGGTCCTGGTGGTGGTGGTGGTGGTGGTGATGATGATGATGATGATGATGATGATGATGATGATGATGATGATGATGATGATGATGATGATGATGATGAGGATGAGGATGATGATGATGATAAAATGGTGGTGGTGGTGGTGACGTCTGTCGAGAACGGTGAAAGAACAGGGATGATGTACAGAAAAGGGAGACGGAACCGATATAAAGACGCCGCTGTTGTTGATCCCCCAGCCCACCAGAATTGCACGCGTACCCTGAGGTAGAAGAGGAGGACGGAGAACCGCTGTTCGAGCATGCGGAGGTTTGACCCGCCCTTGCCGCTGACGATGCCGGCCGCCTTGAAGGGGATGGGCAGCAGCGTCACGTCGTCCCGCTGCTCCACATCTTCCATCGGCAGATACACTTGGCCTGCACGGTAGAACAGTGCGTGCGTGCGCGCGCATGTGTGTTTTGCGCGTAGTGTGATGTTTGTATGTGTGTGTTTTGCGCGTAGTGTGATGTTTGTATGTGTGAATGAGGTGCAGGAAACGTAACGTGGGTTAGCTTAGGCGGTGTGGTGTGGTGCGCTGGAAAGGATGGCAGTCAACACATGTGTTCAGCGCCCTCGGCGAGGGGAAAAAAGGCAAAGAAAACAGGAAAATGAACAATGAAGGAAACAAAAGAGCGAGGAAGGGGGCGGATCTGTTGCTGCGCTTGCGAGTGCATGCAAAGCTGTTGGGAAAGACGTGGAGTTGATGGTGGCAGCAACATGTCGCTGTGTTGGAACGAGTGCTGCGCTGTGCTGTTGCAATGCTGTGGTAAGCTGTGGTGTGAGAAGCTGTTGCCATGTGTTGGTGCTGTGCTGTGGTGTTGCTGGTCGTGGTACCGTTTCGCTGGTTGAGGAAGAGATCAAGGTAGAACTTTGCCTGCTCGACGTTCTTGGCCCTGCCGCGGATGGAGAGGACGGTGCGACTCACAAACCGCGTCATCACGTCTGCTGTGGCCTCAATGCACTGCCGGTTGCTGTAGCCCTCTGTCCGGCCCATGGGCTGTGTGAAATGGTGCGAGCAGCGGTGGCAACAGCCGTGGCGGTTGTTGGGGTGGTGTAGATGGGGTTGCGAGGGGTTGGTTGAGGTGGGACAGGCAGGGTACCAGGCGTGCAGTTGCAGTCTCTTCATACACGATCACCTCATCGTCATCATCTTCTCAGTCGTGGAGGAAGAACAAGAAGAGAAATGGGAGAGACGAGCGGGGGGGGGTTTCGGGATGGATGCAAAAACAGGCGCATGCTCGAGGACAAACAGAGGAACCGTGCAAAATAGAGAGGAGAGGACCACCACACACACACACACACACACACACACACACACACACACACACACACACACACACACGCACGCACAATTGCGTACCGAGTTGTGCAGGAAGCTGGTCTGGGACTCGGACACGGTGATGGTGCCTTCAGCTTCCTCTTGTCTGAAAAAAGAGAGGCGGTAAGGTGACATGTGGGAGCACAGCGCAAGAAGAAACAGCAAAGCAGTGGCGCCATGATGGCAGGTGAATGAGAGCGCATGAAGCATGCCAGCGAACTCCGGCAAGAAGTGCAAGTTTAGCGAACCAGACAACCACACTGACGCGAAACTTCGCTGACAGCGACAAAAACAAGAGTGGGCGCGCCGAGGCGTGTAGCAGCCCAAGTTCCAGCCGAGTACTCACGAGGTTGGGGTCTTGAACTTGCGGCTGGGCTTTGGCAGGAGCGCGTCGTTGGACCTGGTACTGTGGGCGCGGCCCTTGCTGTCTGCGGAACTTTGCTTGTCTGTGTCGGTGGACGCCTTGTCGCCTTGCTTGGCGTCACCGCCGTTGCGCGAGGGCTCGTCGCCATCGCCTTCCTCCTCCATGGATTCGTGGGCCTCGCGCGCGCGGTGGCGCACCGTCCCGCGCTCCTCATCATCCGACTCGTAATCGTCGTCGTCTTCGACCATGTCCACCGCTAGGAGAGGGCACGCGCCACCAAACGTGTCAACAAGGATGGGCACACGCACGCCAGCGTCATACGCCAATGGGAAAACAAGCGACATGGTCAGGCTCGTTAGGTTGAGAGGCCACAACACAGAATCAGTGGCGGTGCCAGGGACAGCGCATGGAAAAAAAAAAAAAGGTACACAGCAATAGATGCAAGTTGATCTCTGGGTTGAAAGCAGAGAAAGCACCAAGACACCATCCCCTCGCAGTTGGTTCGCCCGATCACGTCATCCACCTGTCAGCAACCAAAGGAGGAAAAACCCGCGCGCGCGCCAACACAACACAAAACCCACACTGCACTGCATAGAACACGCACACACTCAGAAACACACACACACACACACAACGTACACACCCATACACCACACAACGTACACACTCACTTTTGCGCTTGGGGAACGGCGTGTCCTCGTGGTTGTCATCGGTTGCCTCTGCTGCCTCTGCCTCATCAGCAGTGCGCTTGGCAGCTGCGCCTTTGTCGTTGCTCTCCGTGTCAGACATCGTCAGGTCGGTGGAGCAGGTGTGCTCGTGTTCGCTGGCTGTGGTTGGCGTTCGCGCGATCTCCTCCTTGTCGTCTTTGGCGGCTTTTGTTCAAAGCAGAATATCCGCGAATATCTTCAAGATGTAGAAAATTACAGCAAGATGTCGCATTACATGCCGCGCCGCGAAAATTTGAAATCACAACACCTCCACCATCGCAGACAGCATCCCGCACGACCAAGCAACATGACAGACAGCCTGCGTGGGGCGCATCGCCCGCGCTCTCGCCAGCTGGCCATCCCGAGCGAGTTGCATGACACAATTTGCAGCCCTCGACCAAACTCCAGAGGTCGCGGCGCATCTGCAACGGCATCGCCATCCATCCCATGCACGCCACTTCAGCGGCTGGACGTCAACGTACGCATTACAGTTTGCACTCGTGTGGGCATGTGTGTGCTGGTGTGGGTGAGTCGTGTGTATGTGCACATGTGGGTACGATTGAGAGTGTGAGTGAGTGAGTGAGTGAGTGTTTGTGTACTTGTGGGTTACTCGTGCGTGTATGTATGTTGTCGAGTGGCTGTTCAAAGGGCAAGACAACTTGGTTCGTATGTTCGTATGCATGGCTTGCATGATAGTTGCTGACATCCACTGGCGTTGTCACACGCGCACGTACATGTGAATGTGTGTATGTGGTTGTTTTGGTTTTGTTATGGCATGGTGCAGAAAGACATGGCCAGCCCCCGCAGTGCCAAGCGGAAGCACGCGGGATCCAGCGCAAGCCGTGATCCCAGCGTGGATTGCGAACAGGCCGCAAAGAAAGAGAAGGAGGAGGATGGCACTGCAAAGCCAAAAGCATCACCAGCACCTGTTGCATCATCATCATCATCATCTTCATCTCGAGACGCTTCCGTCTCCAGAACAGCGTCCAGATCAACAGCTAGATCAACATCCAGATCAGCATCTTCCTCCTCTGCCTCATCATCATCTTCCACCTCCACGGCCGCGGCCGCTTCTTCCACTTCAACGTCGCTTGCTGAGCGCAAGCGGACGGCTTCGCGCAGCACCTCCGTGAGCGATTTCCACGGTCCACGCGAGCGCACAAACTCCGTGACGCGTCGCATGAAGGGCATGTACCGCAGCGTGAGCCAGCGTGCACGCCAGCGGGTTGCGCGCCACAAGCAGACGCCGTCGCGGCACTACTTTGGCGAGCCAGAGCGGTGCAGGGCAGACTTTGCGCCCTGGGCTTCGGGCGTGTCGGAGGCAGAGCGGAAGGACGTCCCACGGCGAGAACAGGCGCGCAGAGAGGTGCGTTGGTTTTTGGAAGGGGTTGGGGTGGAAGATGGGAGGAGGGATGCAAGTTTGTTCGTATCGTGGGAGTGGTGACGTGTGGGAACATTGAGAGTTTGGCGTTGAAGTAAAGCTGAGAGCCTGGGGCGAAGGGGTGTGTTTTGCTTGATGAGAAGAAAGTGGTCTGGTCCCCTCTCTGTGTGTCTGTGTGTGTCTGTGTGTGTTTGTCTGTGTGTGTGTGTCTGTGTGTGTTTGTCTGTCTCCGTGTGTGTCTGTGTGTGTGTCTGTGTGTCTGTGTGTCTGTCTGTCTGTGTGTGTGTGTGTGTGTCTGTGTGTGTGTGTGTGTCTGTGTGTGTGTGTGTGTCTGTCTGTCTCTTGTGAACGGCCCTGCATCCCAATTGTAGGCGTGTGTGCAATATACACTTGGATGTAACCTGCATTTGTGCTCCGCTGACATTTGTATTTTCTACTTCCACCACGGCACGCACGGGCAGGCGATTCACGAGCTGTGCCACCGCGAGCAGTCGTTCCTCGCCCACATCTCGGAGACGCTGAATGTGTACGCGGGACCGATGCTCAAGTTCAAGGCCATATCCGAAGCACAGCAGCAGCTCATCTTCTTCCGTCTCACGGAAATCCGAGACCTCCACCAGGGTGGGTGCGCGCCGCTGTTTTTTTGCATGCGATGAGTGTGTGTGTTTGTGTTGTGTGTGTGTGTGTGTGTGTGTGTTGCGTGTGTTGTGTGTGTTGTGTGTTGTGTGTGTTGTGTGTGTTGTGCGTGTGCGTGCAGGTGTGCGTGCCGATCCTTTTCAGGGCGTCCTCGCTTGCACTCCTCACACATGCTTGCTACTTGGATCTCGTTTGCTGTGTTGTTGTTCCAACAGAGCTGTATGTGCAGCTGAACAGTGCCATTGATGAGAATGGTGTTGGTGATGTTGGCAACATTGTCGCAGAATGGGTGAGATGTATGTGTCGTGACACGCGTCGAAGCCGTGGTGTTTTGTTTTATGTGCGTGTGTTTGTTTGTTCGTTTGCGTGCGCACAGGCGTTTTGTGCTTGCTTGTGGCATGGCATGCCACATTTCAACACACTGTACACGACAACGACGTCTCAAGCGTGACTTGTTCGCCTTAACTGACCGTCACTCACACATACATGTGTGTGTGTGCGTGTGTGTGCGTGCGTGTGCGTGCGTGCGTGCGTGTATTTGATTCGATAGATTCCAAAGGTGACAGACGTGTACAGCGACTACCTGAGCAACCAGGCCAAGGCAAAAGGGCTCTTGGAGACACTGCGCAAGGAGAGCCGCGTCTTTCTCGAGTTTGTCGAGGTGAGCTGTGCATGTAATGCGTGCGTGTGTGGACGTGGGGTTTCCACGGAATGGGCAGAGTATTGTCGTGATATGTGGTGAAGATGATTGAGCAAGTTGCTTACGCTTTTCTGTGTTGCGTTCTGATGATATCCGCTTCCTCTGCCCCACACGACTCCTTCCACTCACCCGTTTCTCTCGTCTCTCCATCATCGCCGGCCCTACCTGCACCTTATCTCCACCAACACCACCACCACCACCACGCCGTACAGACAGGCCGCGACTTGTCGCATCTGCACCGCATGGATCTGTCCTCGCTCCTTGATCTTCCACGCCACAAACTCACATCGTACCAGCTCCTCCTCGGCAGAATCCTCAAGGTGCGGTCGAGGGGCGATTGTGTTCTTGTCTACTGTCTTGTCTTGGGTTGGTTGTCGTGAGTGCTTGACTGTGTGGGTTTGCGCTTTGGGTGTATGTTGCTTGTGTCTTTCATATGCCATTACATACGTTCCACATGCTGTCCCGTGCATTCACACACACACACACACACACACACACACACACACACACACACACACACACACACCACCCTTGCTACTTCACAGTACACGCCTGCTGAGAGCGAGGAGCATGCTGCGCTGGACAATGCAATTCGCACATGTGTGTCTGTCGTGCAAGGAGTGGACATGAGAATCAAGCTGGCGGCGCTGCAGTCGCTGCTCGACTCGAAGCACAAACTCGACAAAAACGCGACGGTGCTGTTTGAGCGCAAGGCGCACTTTAAGGATGACAAGGTGTGTATGGATATGGGGAATGGTGTTGCTGTAGGAAGTGGGCATTTGTATTGTGTGTGCGGTGCGTGTGTATGTGAAAGTGCGTATCAATGTGATTGCGTGTGTACCTGAGTACTCGCGCTCTGTTTCTCAGCTCACTCGTGCTTCGTGTCGTCTGTTATGTATTTGACTTCACCCTTTGCAGGAAGCGGCTGTGTATGTGCTGCCCACAATGGTGATTGTCACCAAGATGAAGAAAGGCAAGGAGGCACTGCACGGCAAGGTGTGTGCGTGTGTGCGTGCGTGTACAAGTGCGTGTGTGTGCGAGTGTGTATGCATGTACAGGTGTGCTGTGTGTGCCT